CGGGCGGGAGCGCCGCCGCGCTTCCCAAGCGGCACACTATCCAGTGCGCCACCGGGCCGGCCCAAGATTCATATTATCTTTCAATTTTATTTTTCCATCAGCTTCTTAAAGTATCCTCATATGTGTTTGTGCACATGTGTGTTTTGTTGAAGTGTAATGATATATAGTCTATCGTATGGACCTCGTGGCTCAAGTTAGAGAGAATTGTTCTACTCTGGATTTTTTTCTATAGGTACCTGTAAGAAAACAAATATTGTACAATTTTTTAAGTAGGTTCTACTATATTTCACTATGTATAGCCACAGTGAACTGAAAAGAAAAAATACTGCTCACACCCCATTAAACCATCTGGTTAGGTCTTGTTTCCAGGCTTGCTGCATCTCAAGGCTCATTATGCAGTGTGACCTCTTTCATGCACCTACATATAATACAGAGAATTTGAGGCTGCAGTGCATCTACTTACCATCCCACATGTGGAATATACTATAAAGCATATGTACTTCACAGGGCCTGGTTTTCCAAAGCCTTGCAGTTTCAAATATTGACCTTGAGGAGGACTGGAAATTTTCTTCAGTCTACAAAGTTTCTGGTGTAAGATAAAGATTTGTGGCACAGCAAGGTTGCTGGCTCAAGGACAGACTAGTTACTAATTGTTATGTAAAGATACTGAGAAATTGTAAGATCATTTAATTGTCTAATGGAATGTCATCTGACTTGTTACCAGCCTATATTGTTAAACTATAACCCCACCTATGTTCTCTTCCTGTAACTTCCTGGTCTGGAAAATAAATGCAGGAAGAGAACCCCAATCCAGGGTTAATTTCCCAGGGAAGGGATGCCTCTCACTGGAGGGTCTCGAGAAGATTAACCACTTCAGGTCTCTCACTGCTCAGAAGAGATGGGCTTTGAGTAATCCTTTGTATCTCCATCACCCAGGGGAAAAGGGGTGATAGAGCCATGGGGGGTGAAGCAACATAAAGCAACACCCACATTGTGTTCCTACACTGACCTTTCAGAATTGATTTTAGGCTAGCTGTCTCAGTGAAGTTGAAACTGAGATGCAAACTTTAAGGCACAGGTTTTAATTTTCTGAAATTTCTTTATGATTTTTAAAAGCTATATCTGATCTGATTTCTCCTATCATTGAAATCCCTGTCTTTTAAACAGCCTTTAAAAAATATCACAACAGACTTTGTAATTTTTGCAGAAACTTTGCTCTTTTTAAAACTGCTGATTTGTTTATAGCGTCATTTTCTACCTAAATAAGAATAAGTACTGGCATTGCTTGGTGCTTTTCATACTTTCTCTTCAATTATGTTCTTAACCAAATTCAATAAAATGCAGACGTCTACATGTGTACTTAGCAATGTATATGCTTTATCAGCAAAACCATTTTCACTTCTAACATTAAAAAGTTCCAGCCCCCCCCAACAAAAATAGGTAAAAGAGAAAACATAAAAAAACAGGTAATCCTAGATGGAATTTCGATCATAGATTGAGCACGTGACTGAACGGTTATGAGATGGTTACTTGTGTTTGGGAATGAGGATTTCTTCTGCCTTGAATGGAACTGTAGCATAAGCTAATTATTGATTGTAAATATCTTGGGAGATGATACTTGTCAGACTGTAAAGTAGCTAGTTAGACTCTAGCTCAGATTTGTTGATGGTGATACAAGCATTATAAAATGACAATTCTTTAGTTGAGAAAAAATATTTTTGGATTTTCTTTCTGTATTTTAGTACAGTGTAGACTATTCCTTTCTGCCTTAGTTTTAAGGAACTTGAGTATTTATGATTTATGCCCTTCTATTTCCAGAAAAGAGTAGGACCACTTTACAAAGCAAAACACATATAAAGCAGAAAAAATTAAAAATAAACACATAAACAAAAAAGGCAGTACATTAACGAGCTAAAAAGATCTGGATTAAGATCTCTTAGAATAGGCCAAATTATTCTCATTTCTGGAAATATCCTGAGTATTACAAAAGTAATACTAAGAATTTCCTATAGTAGCTATTTGAGAATAATGTAAAATTATATGTATATAATTTTAGAAAAAGCAAAACTAGTGCCAATTTTATCTTTTCTTACATGAAAAAGAACAAGTAAGGTATTTTTCCATCAATTATTATTTGCTATTTTTAAAATTTCTTTGTTGTTTGAACAGATTAAGAGAATCTTTAATTCATGGATTATTGCTTTGTCTATTTAATAGTGAGTTAATTATTAACAACACACAAAAAAACAATTTTGGAATTAAAAACTTTACACAACCACAAACATTTTACATCTGATAAATATTCTTACGTCTTTAATTCATGGATTATTGCTTTGTCTATTTAATAGTGAGTTAATTATTAACAACACACACAAAAAAATTTTGGAATTAAAAACTTTACACAACCACAAACATTTTACATCTGATAAATATTCTTATGGTCTCGATTTATAACATACTTACATTTTGCATCCCTCTTAAATAAAGAACCAAATCAAGAAGCACAGCAGAAACTAGCATCACAATTTTAATATATTTTAAAATATAGAAATATATTTAAACAGCACATTTAAAGTATAATAATAATAGACTTCCATTTCTTATTCTCTCAATGGTACACCATTAATTAAAAATATATTACTTAATGTACCCCCCAATATACCTATTGTCAAATTTTCTTTAAGATAAACTGTATTTTAAAACAACATTGAAATATACCTGAATTACAAACAAACCCATAACATTTTCGAAGTCATTTCTGATATAAGTGTTGTCTGAATAATCCAAAAGGGTGATTAATAAATGGTACTTTATGAAATTTTAGTTGAACTGTAAATAGGCCTAACCATGGAGCTACCATAAATAGCAAGGTACCAATCTAAAGGTCATTCTTCAAAAAGTCGGTGTGTGTTAAAGGAAGGCCTTACAAGGCATTCCAAAAGAGAGAGAAAATAAATTAATTTCAGAGGGAAGAACACACATGCACACAAACACAACACAGAACCTTCCTGTTTGGAATTATTTGTGCTTACAGGAAGGTTTACAAAATCCCTTTACAAAATAAGGCTTTCATTGAGCTCATTCTCAAAGATATGAAAAATGGATTTCAGCTGTTCTTTAGAAATGGCAATTCTGTCAAAGCCATTCTGGGATTTTTGGTAATTTCCTCCAGTTTAGTTTCAGTGCTTTTACCCCAAGTAAAATCCCTTGCATCACATCAATCAGCGAACTCAGTTATAAAGGAGAGCTAAAGAAAATGGCTCTGTCTGCATCTTCTGCTTCAGTACATTTTCTGCAATGCAGTGACTCTTGTCTGCAGGGAAGGAAGTGGAGCACATGTAAATGTTTCTTTATTTTGGACTAAGTTTTTAAATCTGAAAAAAAAATCTGTAGCAGTAGTGTTCTAGATAATAGGCAGACATGATTTATTTGAGGTAAGAAGGTTGTACTACAATTTTTTAGTGTTAACTTGGAAAGTTATGGACACAGGCTCAAGCCTGTCTCCACAGAATTCCTGAAGCTTTGAGCTCTTTGCAAAATCCACAATCCACAAGCCAAGAAGGAATATGCTCCTACAGTTACACCAACTCTGTTAAAGCAAACAGTTATAACAATTATGTGCAATCTTTCAGCTTCTATGTTCTGCCTACCGTTTATTTATTCAAATCCTGTTCAACATTTCACTTTATCTAATGAAGCAGAAACTCTAAAAGAAAAACTGTGTTTATCCAAGCATTTTTGTTTGGGTTGTTATTTTTTAAGTTTTATTTCTAAATAAATATACTATCACAGTTTTCATTGGCACAATATAACCAAATGTATTCAATTTCCTTCAACAATATTAAACAGTCAAAGGAGTTCTGTCCAATCTCAGAAAAGCATATAAAAATTGTATTAGAAAAAAATGTTGAAATGGAATTAAATTGGACTCAGCATGTCCCATTGAAAGTTAGATTGGGTGATCTATTGTATAATATAGTGACTTATAAAATAGATTTTATTGATAAGGCATCCGCAAAAGAGAATATATATTTTTAAATAAATAAAAATGACTATATACATGACATTGTACATAGGAAAAGAGATAAAATGAGTCAGACTAATTTTTAAAAATTCCCCTTTTGTCTGAAAGTATGCTTTTTATTGCAGTCATAAACCTTAATACAGATCTTTTTGTTATTACCATTATTATTTAATATTAGTGGCAGCCACATGAACGTACTACCATATTTCTGTATTTTTTCAAAATGACATTGGAGCTGTCATCAAAGTACAGAACAGAGATAGCATTTAATTTAGTTGGAGCACAACAAGGCTTTGGTACATGGTCAGGAAACATCAGATGAACCTGAGAAAGAAAAAAAAAATGTTTTTTTTTTAAGAAACAGGGTAAACATTTTGTTTGCAACTTTAAAATAATACACTTGTTTTATTACTTAAATCAGACATCCCCTTAATCTAACCACCCTTCTCTTCTTTATTTTTGATGCCTGGGGTGGGGTGAGAGGCCAGTAGTGAAGGATGTGTTCTTAAGCATTAACACCTAGAATCAACCCACCGGTTCTAATTCTGTGTTGGGGACTTGAAACGTATTCTACCAAATAAGAAAAACTCCCTCTATGAAATATTCAGTGAAAATTTTCCTGGGGAAAGAACATGGCAACTAGCACTGAATTACTTTTAGCTGAAATGACTATTTACATCATGAGAAATACGGAAGTTATAAGTGCAAATCAGTGAAGACACACAGTCGGACTTTGGAAAGATTTGGATCTAAGAATTAGTTTTTAGAAGGATAATTAAACAAGAAATCTTAAATGTTATGCCAACTCTTAATTTTCTGTTGTAAAAGAAGCATAAAAATCATAATTAAAAAATCCAGATATAATCAAATACTTGCTTTAAAGCAATGATTTTAACTCTTCTTCACAGAATTTTTTACCAGATTAGCTGGAGTTTGATATTTTTTTTTTACTTTCTTTTTCCCTTGCCCACTCCCCACACAACTGCCAAGAAGCAGGCTAAGCTAAATCAGGAGCAAAGGGTATAGATATTTTATAAATTGAATACCCATCCATTCCCTACAAAAGCCTAAAAAGGTGGCTGTACATGAAAAGTGAAATGCTTAAATGAAGGGTTGATACTCATTTTGATCAGACTGGCAGTCTGCCTATGATTTGCAGTGATTGAGCAAGAAGCCGAAATATGGTTCCCCCTTTCCACCCACCTACTCTGACCCTTCCCCCAAAGGAGTTTATGGGAAGTCCCAATGATGAGTCTTAAGGGATCTACAAAAAGCAAATACAGCCTCTTAGAGTTTTGGCTGCACAACGTCCTGGCTGAAATGATATAAGAGCCCTGCATGTGGACAGAAACAGCAGGAAAAATGAGGTGATCTGACATGAACTTGAAATTTCCTAAGACCTCACAAAACTAAAAGTTGGATAGTTTCAGATGCAGCTTGTGTCCCTCATCAGCTTTATCTTCTATAACCCACACATACATGATTGATAACCCCTGCTTCAATGGCCTTGGCAGCCTCACCAAGCAGTCTCTCCGAAAAAAACAAAAACAAAAAAAAAAAAAACGAATTGTTCTTGAATGGTTTCTCAAATATATCAGTCACAAACATGCTTTCCTTTAACAACAAATATGCCTGTCTTCTTGTTTCATGTCCTTCACAGAACAAATGTAGAGCATACACAACGCCAGGACAAATATATCAGTCACAAACATGCTTTCCTTTAACAACAAATATGCCTGTCTTCTTGTTTCACGTCCTTCACAGAACAAATGTAGAGCATACACAACGCCAGGAAAAAAAAAAATCAAACTTCCCATGTATGCTTGAGTTTTGCAATGACTTATGTCCTACATCCCAGAGTAGTGATGCAGAGCAGGGTTTTGTTCCAAGTTCGTGTCAGATTTTTTTTTTTGATGTTTGGTTTTTGACACTGCCTTCTAGACTACAGCCATAAGAGCTGACAGCATGTAATTATATATTTATAAGAAAAATGAGAGAAACTGGGAATATTTAACAAAGAGTTTTCTCCAATAAGTAAGCATTGCTTAGCCTGAGAGAACCTTGGATACATTAGATACTTATCTTAGGAAGCAAAAGTCTGCTTTCCTAGTCATTGAAATGACAATAAAAAGAGGCAAAGAACCTTCAGAAAAATTAAGAGGCATTACTTTATACACAAATAGGATCTGTTCCTCTTGTGACCCCACAGAGAGTGATCATGACTGTCCCTTCGAAGGAGGAAACCAGCATTGCTCTCTATCTGATAAGCTTTCATGTCGATGTGAATTCTCATAGGCAAGGTGATAAGTTAAATTTCTTAGGGATTCTTTTTCTTTTTTTACTGGTAAAAGTTCAAATACAACACACCAATACTTTCAGAGCCTGCCTACCTGGCCCCATACCCTGAGAAACGCTGTCCCATATCAAGAAGCACTTATAGTTACAGATAGCAAAGGTGAAGGCATATCAGAGCTTAAGATCCGCTCAGGAATTTAAAATGACACTGAAGTACATAATCTCAGTGGTCAAGAATCAATACATTTATAAATGACTGCCTATCAAAATGCACATTTGCTTTATCTTCCTGTTTCTGTCTACTCCAGGGTTATTTCCAAAGTTTTTGATAATGCTCATGCTCTAGTTGCCATTGACATGCATTTTGGGTGTCTAGTGATTCTGTAGTATCTGCTGGTTAATGAAGATGCCAGTAAAACATCAATTCTTTCAAGGATTTGATCAGTCGGTTTTTATATATCGTTCCTTAAGCAGGAGGAAACTGGGATACTCTTTCTATCAGCTTTAAATTTTAAATTAATTGTGAGAAAAAAACAAAACAAAAACAAAACGAAACAACCTTCCAGAGAGTCAAATTCACAAATTCTAAAAGAATGTTTTTTTTTTCAGTTTTTCAGTCATAAACAAGCCTCACCCACAAAGACAGCTTTTTCTAATATCTCCTGCTCTCTTACTGGCATCTACAAAACAACTCCACTCCCATCCTTAAGTCTTGATTCTAAAATAGTGTGTTTCTCCCTTTCCTCCTAAATACATAGAGTTAAAATTTTCATATTAACTCAAACATCAATTTGAAATTATGTAACATAGTGAACTTTCTAGAAGCCTCTCACTTAATCTTCCAGAGATTGTTCCTCCCTGTGAGGGACATCAGACTCTGAAGAGGTTTCATGAGCTCATTAGATATAATGCAAACCAGTTAAAAACCATCAAGTCAACATTTCACTACCTTGTTCATAAAAATAAGCCTAGGCTCTTAGGAATTTAATCACTGCTAAATTGCTTGCAGTGGGGAGAAAAGGAAGAGTAACTCCTACTTTAAAGATTAGAGAAGGAGGAAAAATAGGAGGTAGAGGGTGAAGGGGAGGAGAGCAATCAAGAAATAGAAACTAGCCTCCTCCTTATATACCACATTGGAGAACTTTTACAATACCGAAGTATGTGATAGATCATTCTTAAATAATTAGAGTAAAAGCCCTCAAATGAAATCAGCACAGCTATTATTCCATGTTTTTGTGATGATTACTAATTAGACACAACGCCTGGGAACATGGATTGTTAGTCATTTTCTGCAGTGAAGAAATAAGGGCAGAATGACCACTTCATGTGATTACTCCCATTTTCCTCACTGAATTCTTCTCCATTCTGGAATGAGGATTACTCTTTAAACCAGCCTGAATTTCCTGACTATACCTACAATTGTTACTTTGGCTTTAAAAAATAACAAAGCAGTTTGAGAAGAGAAGATAATGCATTGATAATTGTAAATGAATGCTTTCCTTTAAAACAACTTTATATTGTGCTTGCATTATAAACCATTTTCAATCCTACAAAAACAAAGCATACCAGAGTCTGAACTATGGCATGGTTGGTGGCATTCATATGGGCATTAAGTGGAAAAGAACATTCTCCATCACAATAAAATGCAGCATATCCTTCTGGTGCTATAATCCAGTCCTAAAATGCACACACGCACACCAAAAAAAAAAAGAAGAAGAAAAAGAAAAAATAATATTACCAATATAAATAAAAATAATTGTTAAAGAATACTCAAATATATTTTATATGAAAAGGTTTCCCTTCTTGGTCCAATAGTTACTCTAATAGGATAAACTCCCCCACACCCTTTAATTTAATTTTAAGTTAAAGCTTATAACAATAGTATATTTTTAAAAGAAATTGTCCTCTCTAATTGCTCCCAAGAGGTTGCTATGTAAGATATTCATAGTATGTATTAATTCATGTATTCATGAATAAAACCATAATCATGAAATAGCATTCTAAATATTATTTAAACAGGAAATAATGAACTCTGGAAAGTTCAAGTGAACCAGAAAGGAAAAGCAGAGCAAACTTAATTGAGATAATTCTCATTACTTCTTAAAAACCCATTCCTGGTTTTAGAAGTCTGACAACCTCCTAAAGCTGTAATATTTGGTCTGTGTGCTGTTTTTATTTTCATTCATGCATTAACTTTATAGTATGTTTAGAAGAAATGAATTGGAGCAAATTCCTGAAAACCATACATGAAAAATTTTAGGAAGTTAAAAAATTGGCACATGGCATGGTTGTACTAATTCCACCGCCCAGAGAAAGAAAACTTGGTGTAAATGTAAAAATTATTGAATTATCTATTTGAAAGTTTACCATGAAATGTGTAAATATTGAAATATTAATATTATTTCTCAATAAGCTTATATATTGAGAATTCACTGTAATGGGATATTAAAAGAAATCTAAAAACTTGATGTTTAATTGTCACCACATGGAGCTATTGAAAACTATTTTGGTTAAATTCTCCTCCTCAACCTGTTTGTGAAGAATATCTAAAAGATAACAATATGATTTTTAATTGCAAGAAAAAAATGTATTTTCTGTACATCCACCTCATGACAGAGACATTATAGTTGAAGTTTCTATTTCCTAGATACATAGTTTGGGATTCTAGGGGGCTAATGAAGTTGCTTGTACTTGTCTGAACAAATCTTCTACTTATAATAAAATTAAAAGTTTGGGAATGCTTATAGAACAGCACTCTTGTTTTCATTTTCTAAATATATCTTCTTTAGCATACTTGTTTTTATTTGTTTGTTTGATTTTTACTGTAAAACCTAGTAATTATGCTTCGATGTTGAAATGATAACAAAAAAATTAAAATGATATGGGTAAGCCATGTACTGGAGACCCATGCCAAAAACCATTGAGTACTGCATTGGAAAATTTACTAATGAAGATCATGACTTACTAAGGACTTATGATAAAACAGAAAATAAGCACCTACATTGACGGAACATTCTTACCTGCCATCCCAGATCCCGGAAACTCACATAGAGTTCATGCTTCTTACAGGCTTGCTTTTGTTCACTTGTATTATAATCTGAAGGTAAAAATCACATGTTAAATGAATGGCTGCTTTTCAAGTGTATTAGTATTTCTTTTGTGAGATCACTGGTAAGATTTTTAAAACTCTTAAGTGAACTTAGTCAAGTCACTTGTGAGTTTCTTCTGTAAAATGCATACAATTGCCATTTACCCTATGAAGTACTAGCAAGGATTCTGCTAGAACACCTATACGACAGGGCCCAGCCTTGTGCCTGCCATTTACTGAGTACTGGCTGCTCAATGAATTCTCATTCATCAATTCATTCATACTGGAGCAGTACTTAATATATTCATATATATTAAATATTCATATAATTGCCTGCCATTTACTGAGTACTGGCTGCTCAATGAATTCTCATTCATCAATTCATTCATACTAGAGCAGTACTTAATATATTCATATATATTAAATATTCATATAACATTTTATAACATCTTCCGTGAGGCTGACACTGAGATCTCATTTAGTTGATTATATATTAATAAATATCTTAAAGTCAGTAGTTTAAGCTTCTGATCATCCCCAAAAACCTGCCCACCTGTAGACTTTTCCATTCTTGACTGATGGTGGTTGCCCAGGCAAAAAAACAAAAACAAATAACCAGGAGTCAAAATACTTATTTTTTCTTTCATTCCCACATCCAATTTGTCAGGAAGTCTCACACACTACCTTCAGATGGGTTCAAAATCCACCCATTCTCACCACCGCCATCACTGGTCCTGGTCCAAGCCATCATCTTTAGCCTGGATCACAGCAATATCCCCATTTCTGTTCTCCCCACTTCTACCCTTGCTCCCCTTCAACAAAGCAGCCAAGTACAACTTTTAACAACTAAAGTGAATGATGTCACTCCCCTGCAAGAAGTCCTCCTATGGTTCTCATCTCACTGAGTGAATATCCTCAGTGGTGACAGGGCTCTATACAATTTGGCCCCATTACCCCTTTGACTCCTTTTACTCCTCCCTTTCTTTTACTCCTTTTACTCCTTTTACTCCTCTCTTTCACCTTGCTCTGGCCATAATATCTCTGGCTGTTAACATGTGCATACACTGGGCTTGCTCCCACCTCAGGGCCTTTACTCTTGCTATTCCTTTTCTGTGCAATGCTCTTCTCCTGGATATACATGGTTGATCTCTGTATCTTTAAGGCTTTGCTTAAGAATGAGGCCTTCACTGATTACTGCTATTTACTTATATAGAGATATCTGTTTTTGTCTAAGTACAAATGCATGACACAAAAGACACCACAAATAACAACTATCTAGTGTGTTTGCTTATCTCTCTCTGTTTAGCGAAGCGTCCATGTGGATAACCCAGTTAACTTCCTCACCTTAGAGCTCATTGATGTAAAAACCTAACCACAAACCTGAGTTTCCAATTGCCGGCAAGACAGCTCAAAAGGTAAGTTCCCCACATGCTTCTTACTATTTCTACTCCTGACCTCACACTCTTTCAATGCTCATTATTTTGATTGACAGGATCATCAGTCACCTAGTGGCTCATGCCAGAAAATTTAGTCATGTTTCTTCATCTTCTTTCCTTCTCTCTCAGTTCCTACCTTAGACAGGTCCACAAAGTCTCATTAATGGACTCATTTTAGTATTCTAGTCTAGAGGTCCTGTTGGAAGCCCTTTGCATTCTTGCTTAGTTCACAGTTCCTCAATGTCCTCTTCTGGTAACTTTGAATCCTAGGGTAACACCTCATCCCTCCTCTCCTCCTACATCTCTAAGTCTTTGGTCTCTTTTATGGAATTGCCTTTTCTCCTTTGCCTGCACTTAAAGTGCTGCTACTCCCCCAGGAGAAAAATATTAATCTTGATATTCTTCTCTTACTTTGCTTTTTTCATAGAGCGTTAGGACCATATGCTTATTCTGTCAGAAATAAAAATTAATGGATACTGAGTGAAGTAAATGTTGTAACCAAACCAGCAAAGTCTGCAGTTAGGTTTACTATAAATGGTTGGCAGAGTAAGCTGTGGGAGGAAGGGCACGGAAATTAGATTTATACCTTTAAAAATGTCAACTGGCAGCCCTTAGGAGATTAGAATGAAACAGGCATAATTCTACTGTTGATGAACCTGCCTACAAAGGAAGAGTCATACCAGAAATTACTAAGATGTTCTGGTGACACAATCAACTCCAAAAAAAGTATGCTAAGATGCCTCAACCATGACACAGGATTAAATAAATACAGCATTTCTCTGTATTGTCTCTTAATGGTAATAATATTGGGTCACAACATGTAATTTTGTTAAACACTTTATGTAAAATTTTATGGCGGATTTTTAGAAACAATGTAAATTTAATCTTTTTAAAATTGATTTAGAAATATTATATTGTCTCAAAAATTATGGAAAACAAAATAATGTATGTGAAGGTAAATAGTGGTAAAAAATAAATTTTTTTTTGATCCTGAGATCTACATAGATTTTCAATGTTCTGCACACTAGTTCCTGAAAAAAACAAATAATCATGGGCCAGCCTAGCTATGAAGGTGTCAACAGATGATTAATCATATCCCAAAACTCCATATACCAACATAGGTGTCTTTTTCTTTAAAATATAGTATTAGCTTCTTTAGGGGGTGAAATATTGATATATCTATACAACAAAAGAAAAAAATTCGAAGTAGAATTTAACAATTAAACATGACAACAGCTTAAAAGAGGCATATATGTTAAGATACTGTTGTTTCAAAGCAAAAGATGTTAGCTTTCTCACTTCTAGTTCCCAAAGGGAAAAGGAAGTCAGAACCTACAGTATTGGAACTAAAGACCTTAGACAAAAAGGAAAAAAAAAAAAATTCGGCGGAACTAAAGACCTTAATTTATTTATAGAAAATGGAAAATGATGAATGAAGGTATAAGAGGTAGAAAAGCAAAAATGGTGCAACAATAGACTATTCGATAATGTAAATCTTGATACGGCCTTGGGGTAGAGAAATTTATGATAAACCCCAAAACAAATAACAATCCTACCCAAAGAAGGCAGATTTCAAAATGCTGTTGCTACTCTAGCTTAGTCACCATCTTCCATGCCCAATGAGTTACTTACTGGAATTTATGACAACCCAGTAGAGATTACTGCTATTTACTTATATAGAGATATCTGTTTTTGTCTAAGTACAAATGCATGACACAAAAGACACCACAAATAACAACTATCTAGTGTGTTTGCTTATCTCTCTCTGTTTAGCGAAGCGTCCATGTGGATAACCCAGTTAACTTCCTCACCTTAGAGCTCATTGATGTAAAAACCTAACCACAAACCTGAGTTTCCAATTGCCGGCAAGACAGCTCAAAAGGTAAGTTCCCCACATGCTTCTTACTATTTCTACTCCTGACCTCACACTCTTTCAATGCTCATTATTTTGATTGACAGGATCATCAGTCACCTAGTGGCTCATGCCAGAAAATTTAGTCATGTTTCTTCATCTTCTTTCCTTCTCTCTCAGTTCCTACCTTAGACAGGTCCACAAAGTCTCATTAATGGACTCATTTTAGTATTCTAGTCTAGAGGTCCTGTTGGAAGCCCTTTGCATTCTTGCTTAGTTCACAGTTCCTCAATGTCCTCTTCTGGTAACTTTGAATCCTAGGGTAACACCTCATCCCTCCTCTCCTCCTACATCTCTAAGTCTTTGGTCTCTTTTATGGAATTGCCTTTTCTCCTTTGCCTGCACTTAAAGTGCTGCTACTCCCCCAGGAAAAAAATATTAATCTTGATATTCTTCTCTTACTTTGCTTTCTGTGGCACTTGTCAGCCTCAGGCTTCATCGAGCAATTTGGTTCATTCCCGTATCTTTTCTCTACACATTCCACTGATTCTCAATACTCCCCTTCCTAGAGTCCTGTCTCCCCCACCCCCTCCTAACCCCTGCTGGCCCCGTTCCACATGTTTTGGTTTCTACTTCAGCTCTCTCCAATCTATAATCCTCATTGCTTGGAGTATTGTACTAGACGCTTAATCATTATCTGAGCTTTCAGTCTCCTTTGACATCCCAATTTGCTGCCAAATTTAACTTTTTAAAATGCATACCTGATTATGGTATTCCTTCTTCCAATCACCTACATGGGGACATTAGAGCTTTTCACCATCACATACTTTTTGTGAGTTGGACCATATGTAATTTCCTAGCTGATATCACACTCCTCTCACATAAGAATTCTTGCATACCCTGACATTTGCTGCCAAATTTAACTTTTTAAAATGCATACCTGATTATGGTATTCCTTCTTCCAATCGCCTACATGGGGACATTAGAGCTTTTCACCATCACATACTCTTTGTGAGTTGGACCATATGTAATTTCCTAGCTGATATCACACTCCTCTCACATAAGAATTCTTGCATACCCTGATCATTTGACGCAGGTTCATGGCTCTACACCTGTGCACATCAGTCTGCAATAGTTTCATTCACCCCTCCATTTTGGAAAAACATCTACTCTTTTTCACATAAGTCCCTCACAAAGTCTTTCGAGCATGCCTAGGCACTTTAAGTGCTAGTGCCCTGTTCTTATTACTCTTAAATTTCTTTATACTTACTCTAATAGAATTGATCTCCCAGTAATTACTAGTGTGTATGTCTTTCCCATTGTCAATGGGAGTGCTTTTTAGAAAGCAAAATTCTTATGCTATCCATCTTTTGTCAGCATATAGTTAGCACTGTGCCTGGCGCATATGGGTGCTTATTTAATATTGAACAAATCTTATGTTTTAAGAAATTGTGCTGAGTTATATTCTCCCTGTGGATTCTCTCTAGAGAGAGTCTTGACAACAGACACAATGCATTAATGTCTATTAGCACGTCTTTTTTAAATTAAGTATTTTATTGTTCATAGAGATTAGCCCAGTTAGGTTAAGGACTCTAAAATCTCTCCAGCTTCTAAAGTCTCAAAAGCCAAGAACTTCCAACAAGTACACAGGTATGAGTACTTATTAGAAAGGCAGAGAATTTCTAGTTTTCTTGATACAAGAGTCTGAACTCTTTATGAATCAGTACTGAAAAACCAAGCCAAATATGAAATCATTTTAAAAATGGCAATGATAATGGCTAACACTGAATGAGCATTTATCATATACCACTGTTTTAAGTTCTTTACACATATTAATTTGTTTAATCCTTACAACTCATATAATGTTACCCTATGAGACAGATATGATTAACATTCCCCCTTTACACATGAGGAAACAGAGGCAGAGATGACATATATTGTCCAAAATTATACAACTAGAAACTGTTGGAATCATAAAAAAATGTACAGATATGTAGAGCTAGTTAGCTACATATTATATGCACCAAAATAATTGTTGTCTTAGAAGAGATTTCCAAATTTTTGCATGATTCGGGACATGGATAGTATGAATTACTATAGAAATCATATGGATTAGAAATATACTTACATGAGCAGCACTACAGTATTTTCTGTGCAACATTGATTTTGAAAGCCCCAATTTGGAAACAACCAAACTTTTATGAGTAAAATGATTAAACAAACTGATTCCAGTGCTATTAAATATGTCACAACAGTTAAAAGAAAATGAGGCCATTCTATTTAAAAGATGGCTAAGACATTGTTTTAAAAATAAGTACAGTATATTATTCATGTAATTAAAAGCACATAACAAAATATGTTCTCTCAAAAGAGATGTATATATGGAGAAAAAGGTTTGGAAGTACATGTACTATGTTGGTAGTATACCAAGGTAACTGAGCATGGAAGAATTAAGTGAACAAGGGGTAACTTTAGCTTTATTTATGATTTATTATTTTTTAATACTGAAAAATATATATTGACATTATATAAAACTTTCTTAAAAATAATTCCAAGTAATTGTGTTTTCTTGTTTTGATTAATATCTGTTTTCCTAAGAGGCATGAATTAATATTATATCAATTAGGCAAGAGATAGTACCTATCAGAGTTGAGAATAAATGCAGAACATTTCAATTTTAGTAACCAACTGAAAGTCTTGCCCTAAGAAATCACCATGGATTTTGATAGGTTCACCATGTGATTGAATCCACTTTCAAGGATCTTTAGTATTCCCACATGAAATAAGCAATCTTTTCTAACAGTTCTGTAATAAGTCAGGACTAGCCATTTGCCTGTTAGTTCTTCCAGATTCTTAATATTCTATTCTTTTCAGCACTGATATAGTCCTTAGATCAGTATCATGTTCTATAGGTTCTTTAAAAATCTTATCAACCTAGTGCCTTTATATCTTAAAGACTAACTAACTTAAAATTTAGCTATTGCCTCCATTTCTTTCCCTCCACACCCAAATTCAAAGAAATACACATCGTACTGCCTCAACATGAAACAGTCATTATCTCTCACAATGTGTTCGCTCAACCTTCTTGCCAAAAACCTGAAAAGAAAGAAATGGGGAGGGGGAGAGGGTTTCTGCTGAAAATCTGGGAGCAATGGTTCTATGGTTCTAAAAGAAGAAGTTTTTAGCTTTTCCCCATGGATTCAACACATTATTTTATTCAACAAGAATTTTGGGGGGCCCTATTTTGTGCTAGACACTGTTCTAGGCTCTCCAGGAATATGGAAGAAAAAGACATTGAAAAGTCAGAAAACAGGAACCTTTGAAACAGGAAAGAAAAGGGGTAAAGACAGCAAGAATAACCTGGATAACCCGGCTTTTAATTCTCCTGCACTAATTGAAGCTTTCAACATTTGATGATATGCTTTGCAAAAAAAAGATGCAATTAGCCAAACATCTAAAACAAATCTCCTTCCTAAACCCCCTCTACCCTGCCTGGTACTATTATAGCCTTTATTATTTATATTTGGATAATTTTAAAATTTCCCTGGCATTTTAGGTCCCTACCTATTAAATTTTCTGTTTATATTAGAATTCCCTTTCCTTAAACCCCTGTCTTTTAGGCCGAATCCTATGAGGCTTTTCCCAGACTGCTCGATTACCACCTATTGAAAGGTTAAGTCTCATAGACACAAACCAGCTACTTTCTTCCTTCTTATTATCAAAATATGAGTACACTCCAAAACCATATACTGCATATTTCACAGAAATGGTTGCCAATGACAAACTTTTAAAAAGAAAATATTGGTCTATATTAGAATAATTTTGTACTCTAAATGGTGTTAGGAAACTGGTGAAAAGTTACATGATTTCTGCTCCATGTGTTTTATTCATCTCTGGTTGTAGAAGTACGTTTGTTACTTGTGGTCAGGAAGAGAAGATAAATAGAGTGAACCAATAGGGAAAAGGACTTTGATGATTTCAGTCTCTGGAACGCCTCTGCCAGAGTCATTATGAGGTCTAATAATAAGTATGCAACTTATACTTTTCCTTTTATAATTTCCTCAAAAATTATTTACTATTCTGTTCAAGATTTAGCAAACCTTTTTCTTAATACAGTCTGCTACATTAAATTAAAAACATTTCAACCAGATTCAGAATCATTCTGCATGAAAAGAAAAATATACAACTTTGACAGGCTAGTATTTACAAGGAAGAAAAGGTCTTAGAAAGTTATTTTTCCCCATCTTTCATATTAAGCAATTACAACTTTTTGCCAAACTAAATATTTTGTGAAGATCTTTACAAAATAGCTTTGTAACGAGCCACTAATATCATGTTTTACTTTGAAGTGAAAAAGGTGGTTAAACTTCTTTGTTGGAAAATTATTTTAAAATATCACTTTATACATAGTATTTAATTCAGTATAACACAAATCCATACAGAAATCTTCTCTGCTATTTCTGTTGCTCAGTAAACCAAAGGCACTTCTTTCTAATGTGATTCCTGGTACCTACACTTCATGAAATCTCCAATGGATTCCATTTAGTATTTTTGTCAAGAGTCTCAAGTGAAAAAAAAAAAAAAAACAAACCTTACTTTTTTTTTTGTTTTATTTATAATAACCTTTTTCTTATCATGAAATCTCCAATGGATTCCATTTAGTATTTTTGTCAAGAGTCTCAAGTGAAAAAAAAAACAAAACAAACCTTACTTTTTTTGTTTTATTTATAATAACCTTTTTCTTAACCGAAACACTTACACATGTGTGAGTAATAAATAGCTCCTATATGATTTGTCATTTTCAAGTAACCTGGAAAAATAAAGACTTTAAGAATAATGGCAAAGGGTATTTGAAAATAGAATTCCAAGTTGCTGAAATGCCATATTCAGGAATCATGTCTCCTTCGTGCACTAGCTCATCCATGGTGCCTGGCAAACAATTATGCATATGGTGGCCATTGACACAGAAAAATACATATTTTACAAAATAAACAGACGTGTTGTACTAAATTGGGATGTTCTAGGATAAGTTTTTTGCTTTAAATTAATTTTTATAGATAAAAATAATTTCTTGGAATAAAATAGCCATCATTTTTATCTAAGAACACCTTATTAAAACTTGTTGGCAGCCTGGGCTAAAGAAGGTAGTTTAAATATATAACTAAGTAACTTCAGATTTTGGCAGTTAGATGCCTTTTGGTCAATTGGAATTTTATCTCCCTTTCTATCAATTAAGAGACTAAATTGCAAGTACATTGACATCAACTGTACATTCGTAATATTTTGTTGAAAGATTTTATATGTACATATCTGTGGACACACACCTAAAGCAAATTATCTACATAATAGTCCTCTAAATAATTCATGGAAATATAAATATTATCTTAATTCTCATATAATCTATCCTGCTCCTATTTTCAGAAAGAATTTGAGCTGCATAATTCATATGTACTGATTTAAGTACTAAAAAAATGATTTTATGCTGAATATACCTGGTTGACTATCCATATTTGAGAGGCCCTGGGGAAGTCAGCTCAGCTAGTTGTGTAGTTCAGTTTTGGCTAGACTTTGTTGATCTAGTCATTTCATAATTTTATTACTGCCAGCCTGATTTTAATTTGAACTGAATCTTTCAACATATGGAAGCAAGTCATACTTATTTTAAAATGAATTACTGAGTGATTCACTGATAAAACATTCCAAGGATGCTAGAAACATCACTGGAAGATTTAATATACCAAATGAAGGTATATACAGAGGGTAAATTTATTGTGGCTACTTGATTTGCAACATGTGACCCCACAACTCTATATACAACTGATGCTCTGGTTTTATCTTACCTCCAACACTGGACATTCTGGAGGAGTCCTGATGAGAACTGGATTTATTGCGGTTTTGATTTTTCCTTTTGTTGGCTGCTCTCACAGATCGAAGAAGAACCTCACTGGCCTTAAAGAAGGCCACCATGAATGGTTGTTTTGACTGAGGTCCGTGTCTTCCCACAAGACCAGCGGATTTTACGTTGATACTGCGTCCTAGGACATAATGCACAAGCACTTGGTTTATGAAAAGCAGATAAAGTTTACCTGACATAAATGAACTCTGAGGGTAGTTTAAAAAGGGAAAAGTTTTACAACATTATCAGAATGTTTTCTTTACAGACCATGATTCTTATAAACATTGAGGTTTGCTATTACAGACAATTACCCACGCTTGCTTTTCCATTTTGCATCATTCTTCCACCACAGAATATCCTCGGGCTGCATTTACTTGCTATCTTCTCAGACCTTGAAGTTGGTAATACTATAAATGGAAAAATTAGACTATCTATCAGCCTAGAAATGTCCACATTCAATAGCAATTTCAAAAATATTACCTATGGGCTCTTCTGCACTAAATGCCCTATAATTTTCCTCTGAGTGATAAAAGCTAAATGCCTGGCAGAGTGTTTCTACTTTCTCCAGCCTATTTCAAGCCTTTCAAGTGTTAATTAGTGCTGATAGCCTTTCCCCCTTCACCTCTGGTTGGTGACCAGCAAACTTTACAAAGCTGTGTTCTACTTAAAGCTCTTTGCAGGTCATGGCGGTTTGCTTTCAACTCCTGTTCATTCTCAATACTAAGTATTTTGATGTAAACATGGAAATTTCAGAATTTCTCCTTCTCTGAGTTTTGACATACCTGAATGTTTACTGAAAGGATTTCAGAAGAGGCAAAAAGCCTGGAGACTCAGAGAGTAGAAAAAAAAATCCAGGTCAGCTTTGAGAGTCACCTTTGCCTCTAAACTAGCCTGCATCTCAGCCCCTTCTGAGCCTGTTGATGAGGCTGTGTATCAAAGAGGAGTAGAACCAGGACCTAAATAGGAGTGAGTTAGAAGCCAAAGTGCCCTAGAGACTAGAAGTCAATGTTGATAAAGTACTTCTCCCATGGGAGTAGTAATAATAATACTTATAATTATAACCATGTCAAATATGTTTGGACTGCTCACTATGTATATGATAGGCATTTTTTTCTAAGTGGTTTTCATGCATTATTTAATTTGATTCCACAAATGCCCTAGGAGTTAGGTATTACTAGTCTCCCCTTTTTATAATTCACTTTCATTAGGCTCTTTTCATTTAAAATAACCACTAAAAATTAGATATAATAAATATATATAAGAAAATTACTGGCTGATATCTGGTTCCCTGAAAAGCACCCAAAGAGGATGAACAATTTAACCTTAAGTTGTAAATTTAGTTGAGAATAACTCAAAACTCATGCAAAGTTTCTACTCTAGATACAGAAGTTTCCAGTCTTTTAAGAGTAATATATAATGTGGTTTGAAATATGTGCATGATTGACTCTGGCTTGCCCCGTGAGAGATGTACATGTTTTCTTAAAATATTTATTTAGTAAAGACTGTAGAGCAACCTCAGTCCATTATAAGACTTGACCCACCTTAGAAGACAGAAAAGGAAAACAAGTTCCTGAAGCGGCATCAATGGCATTTTAACAAATAAACCCTTGCTCTTAACAAAATTTATTTTGGCAGCATAAACACTTTTGTGTATACTTGTATTGTGCAGAGACCTTCTACCATCAGAAAATGAGACCGTGTCGTGTGAGGCTGTGCAGCTGTTGGGAGGGACACAGAGGTCCTTTAATGTGAAGGTATTGGTAAAAAAAGAAAAGAAAAAAAGAAAGGAAGAAAAAAAAGTCTGTACCAATTCAGTCGGGATAGCTGTCCCCAGCAATTTTTCTACAACATACTGGGAAAACTCATTCAATCCATTAAAATGGCCATCTGCCTCACAAACGCCACTACACTTAGTCCTACCAGAGAAAAGACTTACAAATAATCAAAATAGTAAACTTTAAACAAATAAGCATATAGGTTTCTCTTTTAAATGCGAACTTACAGTGAGTGGCTCTATGCCAGAGTCTATATTTCTTAGAAAAACTCTATCACTGGCATAAATGAAAGAGGCAGTTTGATTTGTGGTCAGAGCAGTTTCCATTCTACTTCCACTGTAACAAATGTATTAATTCAGCTCAGACTTCCTCCTTCTGGCAGCCCTTTTGCTGTAAAAAGAGAAATTAGAAGTTCCAGCCAAATACCATACCTTGAACTGACCCACTTCAATACATAAACACTTTTACAACATGTTTATTCAGGTGTAGCACTTGAAATTGGTTTAAGATGTTTCCAGTGACAGAGAGCTCAGCAAAATAAAAAAAAAAATTAAAAAAAAAGAACTGAGAAACTTAACTGTTATGGAATAGAATAACTGGCAATCTGTTCTTCAAATTTTTTGATTTTTTTTTCTGACTTGGAGCACGGCATAAAAAGTATTTGTCAAAGCTTTTATTTTGATATTTTAATGAAGTGTTAATTTAACAGGAACTTAATTTTTACTTGTATGCATTGATAACTGCAGAAATCATTTTTAATATATGATCTTCCTAATACTGAAGTAGGTTACTGCAAGATGTTCACAAATGGAATAGAGCAAAATCGGTTTTCCATTCATTATAACACACACTGACCCTTTTATAGTTAAATAAGCACTTAAAACAAAGTTCCAAGTTTCTTTTGGTTTGCAAGAGGGTTTCTTTTATTACTATTCCAAAGACTTTCAATATTTTAATTTTTATCTGTGGAGAAATAATACTGCTCTAAAGATTTATGTTCTGAAAACTGTAAAGATGTATGTATGTTACAAATATTGGTTTCTTGGGTTCTACAAAGGTGGATATTGTGTGTGAAGCAAAGTACCTTTCAAACCAATGTGAACTCCCTTTAAAATAACTTTTAATATTATTAAGTTTCCTCTTGGTTTCCTTTTTACTTCAGCAATGAGGTGACTATTAAGATTCCGTAAGTTAATGCTTGCTTAGTTATCCTTGGTCTTGAGCTGTACCATAGAAGCATTAACTATTTGACCTACTACTTCAGACACAATATACCTTCACTGATAGTGTTAACTAAATCTTCTGAATGGCTGAACAGCTGTTTTTGTTAGAATTGCTGATAAGAACTCAGGTTAGATCGCATGCATTAAAAATAGAAAATCCTTATAAAATTTATTTGAACAATTCAAATTTTATTGTTTTAGATATTTTAAATATATAATTAAAGAACCCTACCTAAAACATTTTGATTTAGAAAAACTAAGTGTGTGTGTGCATGTGTTGTGTGTGTGTGTGTAGGTATCACCATGGATTTGCTTTTTAAAGATGATCCTTATTTTTGAGTCATTTCTAGTCTCTCTCTCTATATATATATATATACGTGTGTGTGTGTGTAGGTATCACCATGGATTTGCTTTTTAAAGATGATCCTTATTTTTGAGTTATTTCTAGTCTCTCTCTCTCTATATATATATATACACACACACACACGAAATGGAAATGATAATGGGGTGGGGTAATGAGAAAAGAATGGTAACCAGCTTGAGCCCAAGCTTAGTCACCTTAGGATTCAGATGTTTCTAGGCACAGCTAGGACATTGATAGGTTTAATTCACCAGGCATATATTTGAATGAAGATCGGCAACTTCATGGACAACAAGTCATACTAAGGAAAAGGTGAACCCCTAAAGCATAGATTTGGAATAATGTGTCAGGGAGTATAAAGAAGCAGTGATTTTTTGAGTCTGTAACTTAGAGTTACTTCTGGCACAGCTCCAATGGCTGCATGTCTAACTCCTAGAAACAAAAAAGATTCAAAGAAAATCTAATAAACTATTTTTACTCAAAGTCTCTGCAAAATATTGGAACTTGGTTAACAGAGTGTGACCCAAGTGGTGGAAAAAGATTCTCCCTACATCAGAAGAGTGGTTTCTGAGAAGTTCCACATTGAGTCAGAACAGCAGCAACAGAATGAGCTCCAAAATGATCTCCTGTATCAGTATCAGCATCAGCACAGGCTTCAGAGTGGAAGCAGCTTGAAGGCAAGCAGAGCAGCAATCTCATAGTGGGGGTCTGATGTGCACCAACGACTGTATCAAAGCAAGAGACAATGCCAATGATGGAATGAAGCGGCTCTGAGAGCAAGAGAAAAATTCCCTTCTTACAATAATATCCATGTTTTGATGTTGTACACAAAGAAGAGGGAGGAATGTGATCTGCTAAATGGGTGTGGGGATAACAGGAGGTGAAGAAGTCAGTGGCTGGGACTTTTTCAAGCTTAAATACACTTGTGTTCTCCCACACAAATGGAAGTAAAGAAGACACAGCGTGGAGGAGATTCGAAAAGATTCTTTGAAGGATGTGCCAGCATTTCCATGATCTCACTGATGACATCTAGACCCAAAGAAATAGTTTGTGCTCACTTATTTCAGGTTATGTATCATGGAATGCAAAGAATACCCATAAAAATCTTTGCATGTGGAAAAGATTTTCGAACTATTCATACCTTGGTTATCTTGTTTCTACCTCAAGATTATCGTATGGGTACCAAGGCAAGAGAAATAATTTGAGCAGCAAATATAGGGGTATATTATTTCTCAGTTTTATTAACTATAGAGTGAATAAATGTAAAGGTTGGGTTGATATTTTTTAAATAAATGATTATTCCCTTTACACAGAAATAAAGAAGAAAGTGTGTGAAGCTGGGATTCTGACCTACTAAATTTTGTCATAATTGAGGCTGGAGATTCAAGATTTCCAGATCTGCCAGTCTGACCCTATGACTTTGTGTAAGTACTGGGGTCAGGGTATTACAGTCACATTTGCCTTAAGGACACAACTGAGATCACTTTCTAGTCATGGAGAAGGTAGGCTGGCAAACCAGAGATCCATCCCAAACTCACCGGTTTTGTATTTCAGACTATTCCTTTTGGAAAATGTGACTTTCAAAATGTTTATTTCTTTAAAAACAGGGTTATTAAAGTAGATTCTGACATAAAACAGCTCTTTGGAGACATGTTGATGTTATAAGGATAAGTGGTTCCAAATATGAGCATTTAGTTTCCCTCTAGGATACACAGTTTGAAAAACATTCATTGGGGGATTTATCAGAGTCTAAATGTTGGTATCACTTTGAGATGTTAGC